ATTAGAGGTGCTTCCACCCCACACCCCACCCCAGCTCTCCCCTCAGCTAACCACAGGCCACAGCCAGCCCAGCCCTGCTGTCCAATGGCAGAAGGACCCTGAGGCGCCTCACCAGCCTGGTGGAACTCAGCTCCCAGTACCCTCACACCTGGGAGGCAGGCACCAGGACCTTGCACAAGTGGTTCGTGCTCCTGTTGGAGCCCCTCCACGGAGCGCGAGCCTGGCATGCGGGCGGGCAGCTCTGGCAGGTGGATGCTCTTCACGGCCAGTGATTTTCCAGCTTGGCCGCTTGGGCCACACTCCCTGCCCGGAAAAAAAAAAGTGCTGTTCTGTGTCTGGGCTCCTCCATCAGCACCACCAGGGAACGAGATCAGAGCGAACCGGGCTGTACCCCACATTCCATAAAACTCATGAAAGTGCTCAACGGTTCTGCACACAAAGCCGGGGAGGAGGGGGAGGTGTGTCCTGCAGGGGAAAGAGGGAGAATCCTGGGCTTCTGGCTCTCCTGCCCAAGTGGAGTCCTTCTGCTGCAATATGCTTATTGCAATCTATTCTGTTCCTTTAAAAATTGGAGTTGCACCCCTAAGACCCTAAGGATCGCAACTGTTCAGAGGCATTTTCTAGTCAAGCCAATATGAAAAATTGCACATATAAATAATATAAATATATTTACTAGTGTGTAAAGTCTATCTTATTGACAAAAAAAATCGGAAGTAGAAAAAACTCAAGTCAATGAAAAAACGGCGAGGGCCAGTTGACTCATGCAAGAGTGCAGTTTTTTAAAGGGCCACCAGGTGTCAGAATTATCAATAGTATTCCTCAAATTACGACTGGAAAGTTACAAGGGGAAAAAAGTGGCTGGCTGGAAATGAGATGGCGAGGTGCCTCCCTAAACAGGATTATTTGGCACTTTGGCCCAGTATTTTTCTACTTAGGGTACGTGGGGGGAGGGCGTACTGGTAGCCACAGGAGAAAAACATTCAACTCTCAGACCACGGGATCCCATTCTGCTGGGGACCCTTTGATCTAAGCAGCGGCTCTGTGAGCTTCCCAGGGGCGCTGTGGAAAGGGCCGTGCAGAGGCCACACTGGGAATCCAGAGCCATCTCCCCTCCAGCGATCAGGAGAGCAGAAGCAGACCCCCACCGGAAGGGGGCTCAGCCGCGGCTGTCCTTGTCTGGAGAAGGAAAATCCCGCTCTGCAGCTGGCCTGCCCACTTCACCTCTAACATCCGAGTCTCTGATTCATGTCCACTTTGACTTCTTCCCGTCCACGCCCCGTCCCAGGCTGTTTGGGAAAGCCGTTGACCTAGAAAACACCGGCCCTGTTCGGGCTGGGGGGCAGGGGTGGGGTGTCTTTCGTCACAAGTTTCTGGGTGGTGGTGGGAGGAGGGGGGACTGTTACCCTGCTCCTCCTGGGTGGGTGGGGGGGGGGGCGCAGCTGGCACCACACAGTGCCCTCCTGTGGATGCCTTCCCGATACCCATGGCAAGCCTCGTCCTGCATCTCCCTGATTCACCAACACCCGTCCAGAAAGGAGATGTGGAAGCAGTCACAACACCACAGCACAGACTTGGGCAGACAGGGGGGCTGCTCCGGCCCCAGCAAGCTCCTTGCCAGGGCTCGGCAGAGGAGAGTCAGAGAGGGGGGCACCCAGGAGCACTTGTCCCAGTTGGCACTGGTCTCGGTTGCTCCTTGGGCCGCCTCCCATTCCTGGCTATGGTGGCACTGAAGGGTTCAGACTGGGGTCAGACCCACTATATCCCGGGGCTCTCCGTGGGTGGAACTATCCCAGGATAACAAAGCCCAGCTTGTGGAAGGGGTAAGAGTGGAGAGGAGGGACAAAGGCAAGACAGAGACGTCAACATTTCAACATTTCATCGACGGTGCTGAGGGGAATTAAATGCTCCTTGAGACTTGTGATTTCCATGAATTCTGACAAGCAGATGGAGGCGACCTTTTCAGGCAATTTGAATGACCTCATCTGCTTAAGTGGCCCAGCCTATGTAGGCCAGATGAAGCAACCATAATTATTTAAGTCACCATACACCTTAAACGCTACAGACATCGTTTGAGATGATGCTCCGAGGGTGCCATACGCATAGTTAAAATGCCAGCCTTTATTAAAACAGAGGAAGGATTCATATTCAAATGCACGCTGCATTGTGTCTGATGGTTCAAGCATCATACAACAAGCCAAATGCTACATTAAAAAAAAAGGAATAAAACAATATTTATATTGGGAGCCACAATCATTTACATGACTGGACTAATAACTATGGCTTTGATGTGGCCAACAAAGGTATGGTCATTGAGGGTTGTTTGTTTTCATTTTTTCTATTATCCTATTACATAAGGCATAAGGGATGGAAGACAGAAAGCTTCTCTTAGATTGCTCACCACACTACACTCTTTCCAGGGGCCCCGCTCGCTCTGGGAGGTCAGACTGAGTCAAGAATACAGGACGAGGCCCAAGATCCCCCTCATCTGCTCTGGGTTCATCCACCTCGAGGGCCTCCCCTCCTGGCAGTTCCTATCTGGGCAACTGGTGGGCCCATTGGATTCCCTATAAGCCAAAGAGCATCCCAACACCCTGAAAAGCCTGCTCTCCACCACAAGCTGTTTCCTTCAGCCACTAAGATAACAAAGGCTCCACTGGTCCAAGACTGTCTTCACGGGTCAAGATATATATATTTATATATGCATAAGTATATATGTATATATACATATATGGGCTGGAGCGATAGCACAGCAGTAGGACGTTTGCCTTGCACACAGCCAACATGGCCGACCCGAGTTCGATTCTTCCGCCCCTCTCGGAGAGCCGGGCAAGCTACCGAGAGTATCTCGCCCGCACAGCAGAGCCTGGCAAGCTACCCGTGATGTACTCGATATGCCAAACACAGTAACAACAAGTCTCATGATGGAGACGTTACTGGGCCCACTCGAGCAAATCGATGAAGAACGGGAGGACCGTGATATACATATACATTACATTTTTATTGAATCACTGTGAGATAGACCCCTTACAAAACTGTTCATAATTAGGTTTCAGTCATATAGTATTCCCAACACCCTTCTCTCCACCCGTGTACATTTCTCAGCACCCTCTACCCCCAACCCTCACCTGCCTCTATGGCAGGCATTTCTTTCTCTCTCTCTCTCTCTCTCTCTCTCTCTCTCTCTTTCTCTCTCTCTCTCTCTCTCTCTCTCTCTCTCTCTCTCTCTCTCTCTCTCTCTCTCCCCTTACGGGCATTGTTTTTGGTTTTTGGTTTTTAAATAATGTAGGAGTACTGCTATTTGTTCACCCATTGATTAAGCTGAATGAATTGGGCATGAACTCCACATTAGTTTTTTATTTTATTGTATCACCGTGAGATAGAGCCACAAAGCTTTCATGTTTGAGATTCATCCGTACAATGATGGAACACCCATCCCTCCATCAGTGCACACTGTCCACCACCGATGTTCCTAGTTACTGTCCCCCCACCTTGGGTATCGTGGTTTGCAATACTGACACTGAAAAATTATCAAGAATATCCCTTAGGTATAGTCGAAGTGACATCTGCAATTGTTTGTTCATTGCAGCACTCTTTACAATAGCCAGAATCTGAAAAAAACCTGAGTGCCCAAGAACAGATGACTGGTTAAAGAAACTTTGGTACATTTACACAATGGAGTACTATATAGCTGTTAGAAAAGATGAAGTCATGAAATTTACATACAAGTGGTACTACATGGAAAGTATCATGTTAAGCGAAATGAGTCAGAAAGAGCGGGATAGACACAGAAAGACTGCATTCATCTGGGGAACATAAAGCAACAAAAAGGGAGACTAACACCCAGGAATGGCTGAGATTAGTACCAGGAATTTTGCTCCATGAATGGAAGGCCAGCCACACGTTCTAGGTGAAAAGGAAGCTCAGATAGAGAAGAAAGCACAAAATGAAGGGTGTTGTGAGGACCCTCCCAGGGTGGGAGAAGCATGCTAAAAGTAGTCTATAGACCAAACATGATTGCCACTCAAAGCCTCTCTTGCAAAACACAGTACCCAAAAGAAGAGAGAGAGAACAAGGGGGAATACCCTGCCACAGAGGCAGGTTGGGACCGGGGGGGTTGGGGGGGGGGATGCTGGGACCCGTGGTGATGGATGACAGGCACTGGTGGAGGGATGGGCACTTGATCATTGTATAACTGAAACCCAAGCACAAAATTTGTAAGCCTATAACTGTACCTCATGGTGTTTTACTAATAAAAAAAGAAAAAAAATTTTTAAAAAAAGAATATCCCTTTACCTACTTTTTTTTTACCTACTTTTAACCCTCAGATCTTGCTCGGCGTGATCATTCCCTGCTATTATTGTCACACTGGCCTCTTCTCTATCTTACCTACCCTCAGCCCCACACACACTGTGGCTAGTTCCAGTCACTGACTCACTGACCAGTCCTCCTCGCTCAAGGAGGAGCTCCCCGGCTGCTCCGGCCTCTGGAGAAGCAACTACTGGAGCTCCAGGGATAGGAGGGGGGAGGATGCAGGCCCCCACCACCCTCTGTCAAATACCTGCTCGCCACTGCCCTGTCCAGGTCATCACACTTTGGAGGTGAGTCAGAGCGAAGGTGGGCGGCTATGTTTGGGTTTGCCGTGTGTCCAACAAACCTCAGGAGCAAGGCTCCTCCCTCTGCTCAGGCCTCCTGCCACAGAAACGCCACCTCTGAGCCATGCAGAATCCTTTCCACCAGGGCTCAAGGCTGTTCCCTGTTATAAAGCGAGCAAGGAAATCGTTAATGAGAACACATATAAAAATAGGGTGCCTGAATCAGACATGAGTTGGGGCGTCCTAGTCAGGCCAAGTTAAAAGCTCTGAGGCCAGTGACCATAATTATCCCTCCCAACAGGGGAGCCTTCCTCACCTGTAGCCAAGCAGCTTCTGAGGCAGTGACGAATCGCTGCGCCTGTCGAAACTCCACAGGAAACATTCCTCTCAGGCCGAGCTTCAGTGACGATGACGAACCGGCACCGGCAAAGTAAACAGACTAAGTCCAGAGAAACAAGAGAGAACTGGTTCTCCTGCTCTCTAGGTGCTTCGTGACATTTCAATGACGTTCGACATAATGTGGCTGAATTTCTTTTCAATCTTTGGGGAACCTCCCAGTTTCACAAAGGAAATGCTCATGGGCAACGTTTTACGAAGATGGCATGGAAAGCCAAGAAGAAAGACCCTGCCCCTCCCCATCAGATGCTTTGAAGGCCAGGAACGCACTGCTGAAAGGCGTCCCTGGCAACACGTACACACCACAAGACACACACACACCACCACCACCACCATCACCACCACACACACACACACATATACCACACACACATACACGCACACACACATCCACCTCTTCCTTACCCACCTCCTGTCGTCCCAAGGCACTGTGGTTCTGAGGAGATCCCAGAGACCCTCGAAACAGACCCGCTTAACCACTCTGCCATCAAGTTCCCCTGCCCGCAAGGTGGGTTTGAGAAGACAGGGACACTCTTGTGTTCACTGTGGACATCTGGGCCGACAAGCACCAGATCAAACAGGCTGTGAAGCAGCTCGATGGGTGCCCCTGATGTGGCCAAGGTCAGCAGGGAGCTCAGACCTGGTGAGGAGAAAGCTTCACATGCTCAGGGAGCTTCCATACTGGGCCCAGTGGACCCATTCTCAGAATGAATGCTCTGACCAATCAGAGAAAACGGAAATCAAGGAGTTGAGGATGTAGCTCAGTGGTAGACTTCATGCTTCAAAGAGATGAGGGTTAGGCCTCTGGAACCCCCCTTCCCCCACCTCTGCTCGACGCAGAGAAAGAAAATAAGTCATGTAAGAATGAGCCTGTCCAGGGCAAACTGTTCACAACACTGTTCACAACAGCACCTTTGACTCGGGGACCCAGGAGCAGAGGGCATTTGGGGTGTTGTTTATTGGCAACTTATTTCTCAGAATGCTAAGGTGATCTTCCATTAAGCAATTTCACTGCTATTTCGGCAAGTTGCAGCAGAACCCTCAGTTCTGACTTCCTCAGTAGCTCTGCAGCCACGACTACCAGATCACAGTAGAACAGTTTAGGGTGATCCTACTGGAAGGCAACACAAAGGGTCTTAGTGTTAACTTGAGGGTCAAGTTGTCCTCCAGGACAACTTGAGTCAGGGTCTGGGGATTTTTTTTTTTTTAGTTTGCTTTTTGGTCACACCCAGCAATGCTCATGAATTACTCCTGGAGGTGCTCAGGAGACCATATGGGATGCCAGGGATCGAATCCAGGTTGACTACATTCAAGGCAAACTCCCCACCTGCTGCTCCAGCACCGAGTCAGGTTCTGAACAAACTGACCTCACCCTTTAGAGCTCTGCCAGGGTGCAAGGGGCCAGACAAGCCCACTTCCTACATGCGCTCCACTTCCTTTCCCCAGTCTTTGCTATGAAAACCTCCATTCAAAATTGTCAAAAGTAGACCCAACTTCACTGTTATAACAGATGCATCCCCAGGTTCTTCGAGTACGGCATTAGTGCATAGCCACAAGAATCACAACTTCCAGTGCCTTGAAGGTGCCAAGCAGCTTTGTTTCATCTTGCGTCATGTTTATCTTGAACTTATGACTCTGAAAATAGTCTCCTTTTTTTTATTATTTGTTTTTATTTGGGGGCCCCACCCAGTGGTTCTCAGGGATTACTCCTGGCTCTGCACTCAGGGATCGTTCCTACTAGTGCTGGGAGACCCTATGGGATGCTAGGGACCAAATCCAGGTCAGCCACCTGCAAGGCAAACACTCAAGCCACTGTACTACCTTTCTGGCCCTATTTTGTATTTTAAAGATATCTATTCTCTTGAGCTTGTTTGGAGGTTCTAGCAGGGGAGCGCAGCTACTCGTATACCCTTGACCGAAGACCGGTCCGTCTCTATCGGGAAGGCCGTCCTCTTCGACCGAGCGCGCAGCTTCGGGAGGGACGCACATGGAGCGGTGAGGGAGGAAGGGGACACCCGCCTAGCCAGCCAGATCAGCCGAATCAACCCTGGCGATCAATGGGGTGACAGATGTCGCAGCCAGATCGCCGATAGCACAGCGGGTAGGGCGTTCGCCTTACAAGCGGCCAACATGGCCGACCCGAGTTCGATTCCTCCGCCCCTCTCGGAGAGCCCGGCAAGCTACCGAGAGTATTCGATATGCCAGACACAGTAACAACAAAGTCTCCAATGGAGACGTTACTGGGCCCGCTCGAGCAAATCGACGATCAACGGGAGGGCCTTTACCTTTACCTTTACCTATTCTCTTGAAATACAGCTCTTTTTACTAGAAATGAGAGTACAAGAAAAAACTTCTTTGACCTTGATTCTACTCTCAGGGAAAACAAGTATCATAGACTTGACCATGAATGGCAGCTGGCAGTCAGTCTCAATGTTAGGAGGGGTAACAGGGTTTGGGGGAGACTGGTGGGTGAACTAGCAGGCACACTGCCAGAAGTTGAGCCCCCAACTGGCCCACTGCTAATCTCACACAGGTGAGAGCTTCAACAAAATCAGGGCCAGAGAGATAGTATAGAGGATAGGGTGCTTGCCTTGCACATGACCGACCCAGGTTCAATTCCCGACATCCAATATGGACCCCTGAGCACCACCAGAAGTGATTTCTGAGTACAGAGCCAGAAATAACCCCTGAGCATCACTGGATGTGGTCTCAAAACCAAATAAATAAATAAATGAACACAAAATCAGTCACCACTGACCTACCCCTTGAGACAATGTGAGTCTAAAAGAACGAGAAGTCAGGTCCCAAGACGAAAATTCCAGCTCCATCATGAGCCCACCCTCTGTCCCCACACAAGACCCCCTAACCAGCCAGGTTCTTGGTACCATGTCTGAAAAGTAAAGAGGTCCAAGATTCCTTTCAACCCTAATTACTGTACTGAATAGTTCTACAAGTTTCAGAACCAGAGAGATAAAACAATAGGTAAGGTATTTGCCTCACATGCAATCAACCTGCGTTCAATCCCAGCACTGCATATGATCCCCAGACCAATGCCAGGAGTGATCCCTGAATACAGAGCCAGGAATAATAACTGAGCACTGCTGGGTGGGGACCAATAAACAAAAACAAAATCATGAAAGTAAACAAGTTTCTACATGACTAATTCCTACAAGAATACCTAGTAACATGATCACTTGGGGGCAGGAAGTGTTCCCCCAAAATAGGTCATTGTGCTATAGCCAATTCTGCTATAACACACTGTCTAGATAGAGATGGCTTTGGTATAACCAAGCCATTTGATTAATAAAAATCACAGGAATGTGAACACTTTAATGGGCCAGAACCCTGATAGCCTCTGACCCATAGAGAAGAAGAAAAACTGCCTGTCTCCAACATAGCATAGCTATGGCAGGAAACGCCTTTGAAAGGGAATCAAATTCTCTTGAGTTTTTTTCAACCCCAACCCAGGGTTTCAGGGAAAACACTGCAAGTCCCCAAACAAAGCTGACCAACAGGCTGTGTGCCCTGAGCCACAGCTCTTGCTTTTCAGGTTCACGCTCGGTGTACCTGCTCTGTGATTTGCAGTTACCACATCATGGCCTCCTGCAGGAGCCAACTGTACCGGGAGCAGCTCCAGTTACATAACTCTCGGCTGTGGCCCATATGGACACCAGCACTCGGCTCGCCTTGCACAAAAGCATCCAGGATTGCAGAGATGGGAACGAGGTATATTTTCTCCCTTTTCTTCAAGGAATTGAGCCGGGCAAATAATGAGGGACGGGTCAATTAAAGGCATTTTCCCATTGTAAAGATTAAAAATAGGCATTATTTCCGAGCAAATAAAAAAGTGTTCACATTCTTGTGGTTATATAAACTGTGTGACTTGGGCAAACTGAAGGCCCAAAGAAGAGAAGGCCACGTGACTTGGAACTGGGCAGCTTTGCACATGGCCATCCAGACACGGAGAGCTTGGCTCCAAGGGAAGTGGGGAGGAGGCACTCAGCACATACATTCCTCAGTGCTTTGGCTCATCCTTCATGAACAACAAGGCCTTTTATTTTGTTATTAGCAGCTGCCAAGACATATCTAGCTATGTTTGAAAGAACGAATTACCTTTGGCTCCAAAAACCAGCGTGATCTTTCTCTTCAATTCTGTCTCTCAGATGCATTTTTCCTCACTCTGTCTTGTTGCTACCTTAACTCTGGCAACCATTGTTTATTCTAAGCTGGTTCATTCTTACCCTAAGGCCTTTGTATTATCTCTTCCCTCTGCCCACAACGCTCTTTACCCTGATCATCATAAGTGCTGTAGTTAATTCATTCCAATCTCAGCCTTCAGCAACCTTGCAGAGAGGCCCTCTCTGATGAGCCAATCTAAAAACTCTACCTGTGGTGGCAAAGGAGATCGTCCAGTGGCTGGAGAACATGCATTGCAGGCAGGAGGCCTGGGTCCGATTCCTGGCACCACATGGTCTGCCAGCTTCACCAGGAGCAACCCCTAAGCACCAAGCAAGGAGTAGTCCCTGCTCACCACTGGGTGTGCCTCCCCCCACATAAAAATAAATAACTACATTTAAAATAAATTAATAATCCAGAGTGATAGCATACTGAGTAGGGTGCTTGCCTTGTATCAGCTAAACTGGATCTGATCCCTGGCATCCCATATGGTCCCCTAAGCACAGCCAGGAGTAATTCCGGAGTACAGAGCCAGGAGTAACCCATGTGTATCACCAGGTGTGACCCCAAACACAAGATAATAACAACAATAATAAATGAATAGTACAATCTCTACCTGTGCATTCTGTCACATGATCCTACTTTGCTTAGCACTTGACATTACCGTAACATAGTTCCTGTCTCTTTATTCTCTGTCTTCGTGAAAAGGAATGGGGTTGGTCTCTTTGTATTTCTAGCACCTGGAACTATACTGTGTGGGTAGAACAGGTGGTTGGTTGGGTAAACAGGAGAACCCATCGAGAAATACCTATGGGTGTCTATGGTGCCCAGGGACTACAAAGAGGAATAAGAGACCACCACCTCTCCAGGGTCTGAGGAGATGATGCAGAGAACTGGAAAGCATGCTCTCCATCAGAAAATCCAGGCTCAATTCCCGGAACCATGTGGTTTCCCAAGCACTGAAGGAATAACCCAAGCACTGCAGTTGGGAGTAGACCCAATTACAAGAGTGTGGGACTCCCCACCCCGCCCCCACATTCCCCCAATGCCCCCAACCAAAAAAAAAGCAAATGAATAACAATTAGGGGAAAAAAACTCCCTCAGGAACGTAATGGTCTATCAGAAAAGAAAAACTTTTCCAAGAGGGAACAGGTGAGGGAAGGACTTACAAAAGTGTTACCAAGCTTCTACCAAGGACCAGAGGAGAGCAATCTCTAGGGTGAAAGTAACATTTGGCCAAAGAGGGAGTCAGGGAAGGCACCCTGCTCAGAAATGCCACAACAAAGGTTTCGGGTCTGAAAACAGACAGGGCTCCCTGGGCCCGCTGCAGGTAGTGTAGCTGTTGCCACGGGTGAAGTGCAATGGAATCTCCTAGATCAATCTTTGGCTGTGGGTTGCAAGCCACTAAGTGGCAGAAGCCACTGAGTTATTTTTAAGTAGGGAATTTACATGATGCTTTGTAATGAAATTTTATGGCCGTGAAGGCAGCTAATTAGAAAAAAGTACAAAGCATTCAGGAGGCTGTGGTCTAATCCAGGTGGGAACAATTGTAAAGGTGGGTATAGAAAGAGCTCAAAGGACTGAAGCACAAGCCTCGAAGGCCAGAGCCCGGGTTGAGATTCCCCTGGTACCACATGGTCCCCTGAGCACCAACACCACCAGGAGATAACCGTGAGCACTGAACCAGGAGCATCTCCTGAGCACTGCCAGGTGTGACCCTCGCCTCTCATCAAAAATAAGTAAAATGTAAAAGGGAGATAGCTCAAAGGCAAGGGTTTATGCCTGACATAAACAAGGTAAACATAAACTCAGGTTCAATCTCCAACACCCACAGTTTCTCGAGGACCCCTGATATAGCCCTGGTGGCCTCAGCCCAGCAGCAGAAGGAAATTAAAAAGAAAAAAACAAAAAGAAAAAAACAAATATATATTTGTACATTTAATATACATATTTGTGCATATATGTACATTTTTGTGTATAAATATTCATATATACATACATATACACACATATATACACATACATATATATATACATGCATTTGTGTGTGTATACAGATATACTGTTCATATGTGCTATTTGGGGCCAGTGATGTAGCTCAGCAGTAGAGCATCTGCTTTGCATGTGGGACATCCTCAGTTCCATACCTAGCACCTCACAACAAACAAAGGAACAAATCACCATGGAAACTGGTTATCTTCAAAAATAGAAATGAGGAACTGGTGAGAAAGCTGGAAAGGTTGAGTACAAGCTTCGCATGCCAAAGGCCCGGGTTCAATTCCTGGCACCACATGGTTCCCTGAGCGCTTCCAGATGTGATGTGGCCCAAACCCACACCCCTGTCCCACCAAAAGGAAAAAAAAATTCAAAAATGTAGTGGAGAGAGGGAGATAGTTCAAAGGGCTGGAGCACACATTCTGCATGTTGAATACCAGGTCTGATTTGATCTCGGGTACTGCTGGGAGTAATCCCTGGGCACCCAAGTCAGGAGTGATCCTGAGCACTGACTTGTGTGACACCCCCCAAACAATAAAACAACAAAAAGGAAAAAATGTATACAACTATTAGTGTTAATGAAGAGAGAAAAGACAGATTTTTTATTATTATTTATTTATTATTTATTTGCTTTTGGGGTCCCACCTGGTGATGCTCAGGGGTTACTTCTGGCTTTGCCCTTCGGAATTACTCCTGGAAGTGCTGAGGAGGCCATAAGGGATGCCAGGGATTGAACCTGGGTCAGTCACCTGCAAGATAAACGCCCTACCCATTGTACTATCACTCTGACCCCAGAAAAGACAGATCTAAATGCTATATATATATTTTTTAAGTTAGCATCAGTAAAGCTTAGTGACACATGATCTGTGGGAAATGAGTAGAAAGCACAGGGTTAAAAAAGAATCCCAGCTCCAGGGCTGTGTCATCAAAATTAATGGCTCTCATGTGTTGGGTCTGTGAAGTCCTAAATCCTTTCTGTTCGTGATGTGACTTGAGTCGGAATCCGCTTGCTTACATGAGCTTATGGACACTTGCCTAAGTCGCTCTCTATGGTTCCAGGACAAATATGAACTTATCTGCTTAAGTAATTCAATTTGTATCAAAGCTCCTCTGCTGTGTGGGCATCAAATCTACAATGCTGATGTTTTATCTCTTCATAAAGATACATGTTATTATTTCAATGCACGACCATTTTTAGAGGCACACTCTGATCCATCTGCACAGAAGCATGACTATTGGTCTAAATATA